ATGGCAAAACTGCCGCTCAAAATCGCAAACAATGGGTGGCGATGGTTCGGGATGCATGCGACTCTACAGCGAAGGGACTGGCGATGCCGTACCGATGCTAAAGACTTAAGTCAGTAAGTCAGTCCTCCTTTTTTTCAGTTTTGAGGACTGTGTTTATAGGCAGTCCTCGCTGATTGACCAGAACTGGGATTGGCACCTTTATTGCTAAGCAACACAGACACTAAGCAAAACATCCCATGACTATGTCTGACTTACATAACTTCCCATTTGATCATTACACAAGTCACCACAGGTCATTAAATGAAAGATCACATGACTTGTGATTTTACTGCCAGCTTCTCCATTGACTTTGTTTGTCAGAGGCCAGCTGTGAAACATGCAAATGGAAATTATGTGGTCATGGGAGATTATGACAGTTGTAAATGTGAGGACTGGTTGTAAAGTTACTTTTTTCAGTGCCATTGTAACTTTGAATGGTCGCTAAACAGCTGCTTAAGTAAAAGTCTACTTGTACTTCTTAAGTAGAAAACTGGGCCTCTGATTGTTAATAATCTGATGTCAAATTAGGCAACTCTCATGTTTTTCTTCTCACAGCAAATGTCAGCAAGAATCCATAAATTGTAAATCCATGAAAATGCAGGTAAACTGCAATTTATAGCTTATTGGGGCGGGGGGGGGGTTCCTCCTCATGGATCTTCATTTTTTTGAAAACTAACTTCCAAGCTCTTAATTGTGGTACAATTGTAATTACAGAATTCAAACAAACTTTAACATTTGTTATAATCTGGAGGATTTAATTAATAAGTTAAACACTATTTTTGGTTCTCCTTACTCTGTTCTTCCCTACACTCTGTATTTTAGTTCACAAAATATTTATAACTTAATTTTAACAGACCTTATCCCCCAAAAAGGATTGGTGAATTCAGTGGCCACAACTGATTATTAAAACTTTTCAAGATGTTGGGGAGAAAGGAGATGACGTCTCCGAGATCGCAGTCAACACTTGCTACTGGATGGTCCATTCGGACCTAAACCGTCCCGAAGAGACGGTGACAGGGAAGAGTACATCTTGCTGATCTCAGGGACACCGCAAAGTCCCTGATTGATCCAAGGGAATCTCTTCTTGCCAGCGACAATAAGCACAGCCTCAAGCTGCTGAAGTCGGGACAGCTCCGCAACGGGAGGAAAGAGGAAAGAGAAAGTGTGTCCATCTGGTGACGAAATCTTATTTTTATAAAAGACTGTCCAAAAAAGATTGAAGTTAAATTAAACTGGTAAAGAAAAGGAAATAAGCGCTGAAATTAAGCATTATTGGACAGTGTGTTATCTTTTTTTTTCTATGGATGGAAGTTTTGTAAACATTTTTTTTTACTTTTTAAAGTGAAAGTATTGGATTTTCTTCTTCTATTTCTTTTTTTACCTATGGATTAAATCTTTTCCTTTATTTCTACAATACTGGTTGGGATGATTTTTTATTTTGTTTCATTTAAGAATTTTGTTTCTTCTAAGCCTGAAACATAAAGAAGATATAAAAGGAATATAAAGAGGNCCCCCCCCCTTTTTAAGTTGTAAGCCGCCCTGAGTCCCCGCAGGGAAAAGGGCGGCATATAAATAAACTTAAATACCAAATACCAAATACTCTTTCCACCAATACATGAGCCACACTTTCTCCATAATTTCAAAAGCAAGAGTAAATCTGGGCATAGGTTTACTTCCCTGTAGATCAGAGGTGGGTAGCTATGGCCCTTTTATGACTTGTGGACTTCAACTCCCAGAATCCCTGAGCCACCATGGCTGGCTCAGGAATTCTGAGAGTTGAAGTTCACAAGTCATAAAGGTCATAATTATTCAGTAGTAGTGAGCTGTGGTGTCCAAGATATCAAAGAATAACTTGGTCATCCCTAAGCCTCATCCAGGCAACCACAGTTTGTGGTTTGGTTGATAACACCAAGAAACACACAACTGACCTAACAAGGCCTCCCTACCTAATTATTTTTAACCTTTAAATAGCCCCTTTCATTATCCAGTATGCAAAAGTCAACAGTTTGTGAAATGCTTAGAAAGTTTTTTTGTTTATAAATATAGAAATGTTTTCAATGGTTTTTTTCCCCAATAGTTTCCATATTCTGCGCCTTGAATTGTGAAGCTGAAGTGTGAGCATAGTAATTAATCTTCACTAATAAGCATTTTATGCCATAAAATTGATGACAAACTGTTGTGTATAATTTTACGCTCTGAGATATTGATTTACCCAACAGTGAATAGACTTAAGGTGAAGGTACACTTGATTTAGCAGGATGGAGAAGAGGGGGAATGCTGATTGCAAAAAACGCAGCCACAACAAGTTCCCTATCATTTTATACAAGAGACAGCAATAAGCCACCAACTGTTTACTTCGTGTATCCAACCTAATTGTCTGCCAAACAAATCTCCATGACGCACTGAGAATTGATAGTTTCCACTACATTCCCTTCAAAGAATACATATGAAGTGGCCCTTGCGCACTATGGACTGCTGCCAACAATTCTCATGAAATGAAAAAGTATTTCATAAACCCAGTATGGAATTTCTCACAGGACATCATTAACACAGTCACAAAGAGAAATAAACTGCCATTCTGTTTCTTGTAGGCAGTACCTTGCCGTTTTTTCAGCCTCTTCCTTTCTTTACATTACAGATGTATTCTCCTTAAGGTTTTAATTAATATATACATTTTAGAAATTCAACACATTCAATTATTCTTTTTCATAATGAGAAAGAATAACCTTTACTAAAAATAAACCCTTTCTTTTCTATCTACAATACATTTTTTTTAACTTAACTGCACCCCAAACACTGAACTAGATTAAGGAGCAATGTTTTGTTTAGTTTAGAAATGCACAAGTATTGCCGTGTTACATATTCATAGAGGACAATACTTTCATTGTCACATAATTAAAACTGCGATCATGAGGAGAAATTATTGAAAACATGGGAAAGAGCAGTGAAATTCACACTACGTGAACTCTTGGAAATTTCACTTACCATTCATGCCATTCTTTGGGGATACCAGCTGATCTCCCAAGGAAAAATCCACATCAAATGTATACCGACCCAGGTAGCATAGCTTCACCATCTCATTCAAATGCTCATAGAAGTGGCAATGATAGAGCAAGGCCTGCAGTGCAGGTTTTCCAGACAGGGATAGACCAGTTGCTTCATCATGTACGCAAGGCCCCTGGAAGGAAGGAAGCAAGGAAGGAAGGATGGAAGGAAGGAAGTGAAAATGTTCTCCTCCTTACATTACAGCTTCTTATCCTGTGTCTCAAAGATAGGGTACCAAAAATGAAATTTCCTCCTCCCCTCCTTTTTTTAAAATATTTTTTAATATTTAATGCTTTGATCATACCAATACTCCTCTATTCATCTGAATCATGGACCTTTACAAAAGCTCAACTACAAAAATTGGAGGTGTTCCAAATGCAATGCCTATGCACCATAAGCGGGCTCAGTCTACATGATCGGAAAACAAATGACTATATACGGAAACTGTGCCTGAACCAACCAACCATCGAAACACTTGTAAGGTGCAACCGAATGCGATGGGCAGGGCACGTTTGGCAAATGAACAGCAACTCCTGGCCCAAAATAACTATTGAAG